TAATAGTTAATTTCATTGATTATATATTTATAATTTGTATATATAAATATTTATATATTGATATTTATATGAATGCTAATATAGTAAAGAAACCGGGCTGATTGAAACCGCACAATGCGAGGTATTTTTTACCGAATAATAACTAATTTAATTGATTATATATTTATAATTTATATTTACTGTTTACTGCAAAATTATATAACTGCTAATATACAGTGGAACCTCGCTTAACGAGTTTAATCCGTTCCAAAATTTTCGGATTTTTACTCGTATAGTGAAACATATTAAAAAAATATACATAATATGTATAATTAAGTTTTCAAAATGATGTAGCAGACGCAAAATCCGGGACTTCTCTTCTCATCGTCACTCGTTATGCGAAACGTCGCTCGTTAAGCGAGTCATTTTTCTTATAATTAATTTTGCTCGTTAAGCGAAATGCTCGTTAAGCGAAATTCTACTGTATATCCAAGTGGATGTGCATTCCAAATGTTATATGGCAATTTCTGCGGATTTAATGAAATATCTCCGATTCAATTCAGTGCATTAAATTTATTATATAAAAATAAATATGATATATTAGACATATCTCTCCCTTATATTTTTCTCTCTCTCTTATGCAGTGAATACTTCATATCGAAATAGCTTCGACGCTCTCATGTACGAGAAAAAAAAAATAAGCGTGGAACGTGACATTCCTACCACATATTATCGTAAATATTTACTTCGAAGTATATAGAATTTTTCATTTTATTTTTTTTATATACTCTCATGATTTTACATGAAAAATATTATAAAAAAATGAATTTTTTGTATATTAAATTTTTTTCGTATTTTGTGAGTAATTATGTACAAAGTTTTTGAATATTTATAATTATAATGGACTTGAAAAACTATGTTTTCTTAGTTAATATTAACAGAAATACTTTAATAAATATAATTAAATATCGCAACAAGTTCCAATTAAAATATAATTAATTTTGAACATAATTAAGTTTTCAATATAAACTTTATTATATACAACAGTATATTTTTATTAAAACTTTTTTTTAATTATATTATTTTTTATGATTAGTTTTACTTGAAATCATTGATATACACTTAAATATTTATTTATTTGTAACTTTTAATGTTATGAAAATATAGAGTTTTACTAACAACTAAAATTCTACCATAAAAAATATATTTGAAATATTTTATGTAATTTTTACTTGAAATAATTGAAATATTTCTTTACATCTTATACTAGTTTGAAATTATGAACTTTTATAATTTCATGAATATTTTGATTGCATTCGTATGAATAAAAGCGATTGTAATTTAATATTTATAATGTTAGAAATTGAATACCTCACCGATTTTTTAATTTTTAATTATTGTTACTTGAAATTATTGATGTACATTTAAACATTAATTTACATGATACTTTTACTAGTTTGAAAATATGAAATTTTACTAACAAGTAAAAGCAATTTCATGAATATTTTGGTTGCATCAATATCAATAAAAGCGTTTGTAAAATTTATTATTTATACTGTAAGAAATTGAATGTCTCACCGATTTTTTTGTATTCCACGAAAAAGTACCCCCGATGTCGAGCGTGAATTGAGTTGAGTGGCTCCGGCGACGTCAGTTGCAACGATATATACGTATCTCATGTATATCCGTTGTATAACGTTATAACGCGAAACCCAGACAAATCCGAACAATTTCTGTTCACATTTCGAGAGTATTTTAAGTTTTTATACCACCTTATGTATCTAGCGCATAGTAGGTATAGGAGAGGAGGAGCGAGAATAGCTGTTATCAATGAAAAATTTAGCATGACAACGGTCGGATTTTGATACTAATT